GCATGTCTTAATTAGTTTTTTTTTTGACGAATTGGTCAAACCCAAACTCAAGCAAAAAGATTGTTTTCAATAGTTATGAGTCTACCGATTGAATAGAATTTTATTATAAACAATTGTCTTGTAAATTGAAATTTTAAAGCATCCTGAATGTAAAAATAAAGAAAAAAGTGTGCAAGACAATAAGAGTTTTGTTGAAATCGGTTGAAAAATGTAGGAAATCCGATCACATATATAAACGAACACACACACACACACACACACACACACACACACACACACACACACACACACACAAACGCACGCACAACCTGGGTTTTATAATAAGTATAACTCGATATGAGTTGTCCCCCTTTCATTCTCGTGATGTCTCTTAATCGTGTTTTCAAATTGATTTCGTGCAAAAACAATTGTGTTTTTCCAATTTTTGGCGCTGTTAGAACCATCGCAAGGTAATTTTACGTAGTCCTGTGAAGTTTTGTTGAAATCGGTCGAAAAATGTAGGAAATCCGATCCAATATGTAAACGTACAGACAAACACACACACACACACATACACACGCGCGCACACACAATCTGCGTTTTATAATAAGTAAGATATATATATATATATATATATATATATATATATAATATTATTACGGAGGTACAGCTTGGGGTTGAATTCATTACATTCAATTACGTACTATAATCCTTGGGAAAGGTATTAAGCCTCTTCTTCTCCGTCCATCTATGGGTAATAAGCAGGACAGACAAGGTCCTATAGACTTGGATGTCAACTGGTCTAGGAGAAGAACAACTCTGAATTTAAAACCTGCCGAGGTTCGTTTGGGGACCTTGTGGTACATAGTGCACCAGGTCTCTGTTTTCGGCTCTTCAAAATGTGTGGATGGTTCTGCACAAAGCCTTCACCACTATAATCAAATCATATGTGCTCGTGTCAAGGCCGTTGGTTCCTCGGAATTTAGCTGCTCGACCCACATACGTCGAATACGACGGGAGAATCCACCATATATATCAATACCATCACTTGACAAGATAGCAGAAGTGTTGAAACAAAATGGCTATTTTTGTAGTGAAGTTATAACAGAGCTATGTTATAATTTTAAATATATATATATATATATATATATATATATATATATATATGGGATTATAGCTTAGGTTAGAATCTCTGATTGATGCCAAATCGGACGAGTTTCGACCTCGGCAATCTGATGTCTAGTCATATTGATGAGCTGTGATAAAGTGAAACAGGCTTGTATACGAATGACCACACACACACACACACACAAATATATATATATATATATATATATATATATATATATAAAAGACATTTTTTATGTTTATACATTCTTTTTATAGATACAAATTCACAGAAAATATTCGTCCTCCGTGAAAATATTTGTCCTGCTGTGAAAATTTCTCGGACATTCAAGCCGCTAAATTTTGTTTAATACTGTTTATTATAAAACAGAGCTTTTACTTAAATCTTTGTATCTATAAAAAGAATTTATAAACATAAAAATGTCATAAAATAATTGTTTACTATATATATATATATATATATATATATATATATATATATATATATATATATATATATTCCGGTATAACAGAATAAGCTTGAAAAAGAGGAAATATTTGAGAGGAAAACTCGATCAGGAGGTCAAAAAAAGGTTGATGGTACATCATTTAAACATAGAGCTAACGACATTCTTATTGTTCAAAGCATAGTCGAATAATGTTATAAAAACCTCAGAGAATTCCAGTAAGATATCTTTAATCATTTCTTAGATACAAAGGTACAAAGATTAATCTACCAATTGGTCAATTTTGTTGTTACACCTTTTGGACAATTTTGCTGTTACACCTGGTACACACACACACACACACACACATATATATAGATAGATAGCTATAGACATATATATATATATATATATATATATATATATATATATATATATATATATATATATATATAGAGAGAGAGAGAGAGAGAGAGAGAGAGAGAGAGAGAAATGCTCCAGTATATTTAAATGATGCAACGGTCAGTTTTCAATCAGCATGTTGCATGAATGATAGCGTTGTGCTACTGGCGAGAAATATATATATATATATATATATATATATATATAAATAATAAAAGAAGCCAAACAAAGAAACAATTTTTGCCTATGATACAAATTTCAGAATGTAACTTTACAAGTTAAAATGGCCCCAGAATATTTGTTTGCGACCGACTCTACATTCTCCTCTGCCGTCTCTTTAAATTCTTCATGAAAAGCAAATTTTAAGAAAGAAATATTCAAAAAATATAAAGAAATGGTTCCAACCACCAAAGAAAAAAAAAATTAAATTAAAATGTAAACGAAAGCATGAAGAGTGGCATCTATTTACAAATTCACATATCAAAAACATTTTCGGGAATTTCTTTTGACACACGGAAGACCCAAGAGAAGATCAGTATGCAAAGAACATGTCAGCATAGGTGATAAAAAAACACATACGAGTGAAATGGAAGATCTGAATTTAAACCAAAATGTGCATATTCATCATATGGCACTACAGAAAGTTTGGTTGTATTTTCTGAAGAAAAATATATATATATATATATATATATATATATATATATATATTATGACATGGACAAAGTCCGACAATTATTTTAAAACATTTTTTTATGTTTATACGTTCTTTTTATCGATATAATATTTAACTAAATACTCTGTTTATAATAAACTGTATTAACGGCATTTATCGGTAATTGTCGTTAATACTGTTTATTATAAACAGAGTATTTAGTTAAATATTATATCGATAAAAAGAACGTATAAACGTAAAAAATGTCTCAATATATATATATATATATATATATATATATATTCAGTTTTGTGGATATGAGTTTGCGACCCTGGCTTTCACGCATTTGCGATCATCAGACAAACCTGTTCATTTTTTAAAACTGGATCGATTTATGATTGTTTGGTGGTAGGAGGGGGAACTTACATGTGTTTTTTTGGGGTGACACTCCAAATTTTTCTTGTACTTGTGGTAAAATATTCTTCTGCTTATTTGGATTACTACTATACACATAAGACAATGGTTAAACATCGGAAAGCTTAAGGAAAATTAATTCCTTTTAATATGTGGAAATAACCAATCTTTGCCTGATGAAGGCCGCGAGGCCGGATGCACGTGTAGCAAAAATATGATAAATAACGTATAATATATGTTTAAAAGATCCACATTATAACCAAAGACGTTTGCGGCTTCTGTCTTTCAAATATACACTTTTCTCTCGCTGGAACAACTATAACCTCTCCCTTATATATATATATATATATATATATATATATATATATATATATATATATATATATATATATCGCAATGCAGTTCGTAACGTAGTTGATAAATTTCGGGAAACATAAATTCGGCCAATTTGGCATCAATCAGAGATTCTAACCCTAAGCTATAATCCATATATATATATATATATATATATATATATATATATATATATATATCAGAGCGGCACACAGTGAGAATACATATATATATATATATATATATATATATATATATATATATATCGAATACGGGGAGAATCCACTATATATATCAACACCGTGACTTGTCAAAACACCAGAAGTGTTGAAACAAAAATGCGATATTATAAAATGGCTTTTATATATATATATATATATATATATATATATATATATATATATATATATATATATAAAGACATTTTATGTTTAACGTTCTTTTTATGGATACAAGTATTTAAATAAATGCTCTGTTTATAATAAACAGTATTAAATAACATTTACCTGTCTTAATATATATATATATATATATATATATATATATATATATATATATATATATATATATATATATATATATATATATAACTGGTAATGGCGTTGATATATATATATGGTGGATTCTCCCGTCGTATTCGACGTATGTGGGTCGGGGAGCTAAATTCCTAGGAACCAACAGCCTTGACACGAGCACATATGATTTGATTATCGTGGTGAAGGCTTTGTGCAGAACCATCCACACATTTTGAAGAGCCGAATACAGAGACCTGGTGCACTATGTACCACAATGTCCCCAACCGAACCTCGGCAGGTTTTGAATTCAGAATTGTCCTTCTCCGAGAACAGTTGCCATCCAAGTCTATAGAATACTGTCTGTCCTGCTATTTACCCATAGATGGAGGGAGAAGAAGAGGATTCATACCTTTCCCAAGGTTAATAGTACGTTAAGAATGTAATGGATTCAAGTGGAATTCGAACTGGACTCTTCGATTCCTCACCCCATCCTTGCCTCCAATAACATATATATATATATATATATATATATATATATATATATATATATATATATATATATAACAGTTGACGATTTCCAATGTTATGGAAGGCCAGCAGAGCTACTGGAGGAGAAACTGAAAGCAACTAATCATGGTGTTCAGAAACAAAATAAGAAGGATCCAAGCCTGTCTTGATGCTAACGGGAGTCATTTTCTAAATTGTTTATAATTTTCATTCATATTCTATAGGGATTTTCCAAGCATAGTTTATATGTGGCACAAGGCCGATATTAGGGGGCACCCAGTGAGGATCGAACTCACTCCTAATTGTTCTAGCGAGCCAAGCTTGCTAACCATTACACCACCTCGAGGTGCCCCATTGTAGAGATTTTCCAAGCGTAGCTTAGATGTGGCACAAGGCCGAAAGTATTGGGCATCCAGTGAGAATCGAACTCACTTTTCAGTAGTAACTGATCTAGCTAGCCAAGCTTGTTAACCATTACAACACGCCGAGGTGCCCTTTCATTCATATTCTATTCCTGTATTCTATATTGAATCATGTCTGATAATAAAAATTATAAGTGTATAGTGACTTTTTGAACACCATGTGCAATTGCATATATGCAGTCTCAAATTCTTAAGGAGACTTGTGAGGATATACAAAAGTACGATGAAACGTGTATTTCTCGTCGAACCCGTATTTCGAGAAGGTGTTAGATACACAGATTTGGTGCGATGGCATTTTATAAAAATTTGATAAATTTTCTGATACAACTATTTCACAACGGAATGCAGTTCATCACCTTGTTGATCTATTTCTGACAACAGGGTGAGTAGACGATACCAGCAAAACTATCGAAGGAGAAGCTGTTGGATATTTCTGACAGTATGTAGCAGAGCCCCTAAAAAAACCGTCACGAAAGCTATCTCAGCAGCAAGATAATGGTCTTGGAACTGCTCGTAAGACAAAAATTAAACCTCTTCCCACACAAAAATAATGGCGGTATAATTACTGAAAGCAACTGATCATGGTGTTTAGAATAAAAAATAAGAAGGTTCTGAACCTGTCTTGATGCTAACAGGAGTCACTTTCAACATTGTTTATAATTTTCATTCATATTCTCCTTTTGTATTCTATATAGAACCATTTTTTAGAAGAGACTGTATCTTGTGTCTTTCTTTTTTCTTTTTTAGTCTATATCTTGTACCTTTCTTTCTTTTCTTTTTTAGTCTATATCTTGTGCCTTTCTTTCTTTTTCGAAGAGACTATATCTTGTGTCGTTCTTTCTTTTTCTTTTTTTAAGAAGAGACTATATCTTGTATCTTTCTTTTTTCTTTTTTTTAGAAGAAACTATATCTTGTGTCTTTCTTTTTATTTTTTAGTCTATGTCTTGTGTTTTTCTTTTTTCTTTTTTTAGAAGAGACTATATCTTGTCTTTCTTTCTTTTTCTTTTTAGTCTATATCTTGTGCGTTTCTTTCTTTTTTTAGAAGAGACTACATCTTGCGTCTTTCTTTCTTTCGCATTTTTAGTCTATATCTTGTGTCTTTCTTTTTTGCTTTTTTTAGAAGAGATTATATCTTGGTCTTTCTTTCTTTGCGAATACCCTGCAGTAGAACGCTTAAATTCATGCAGTTGAGGCACCAACTAGGAGATTTCATCCGAAAAAAATTGCCATAAAAATATTTAGAGAAAAGACAGAGAGAAGCCACGTCTTGTCGGTGAGAAAGTGATTGAAATCGAGAAGCCAGGTGAGGATAGATTATATCACAGACCCTTGTTTGAATTTTGTCAAGAATCTCGATATATATGGGTTGGCTACCAAACCAAATATGGCAGTGGTATTCAATGAACGAACGAATGGCAGATTTATAAATATACAAGATGGATTCTGACGAGAAATAATTGTCTGACATGACACAGTGAACCAACTTTCCAAGCAGTTGACCTACCAATTGATTCAATATAATTTTTCACTTAAGAAAGCCCGCAAAGCTACGGGAGAAGAAACTGAAAGCAACTAATCGTGGTGTTTAGAATCAAAATAAGAATGACCCAAGCCCGTCTTGATGTTAACGGGAGTAATTTTCAACATTGTTTATAATTTTCATTCATATTCTGCTGTATTCTATATTGAAACATGTCTGTTAATAAAATATAAGTGAATATACGAAAGTAAATAAATAAAACATATAAATAGGAAAATGTAATTTAACCTCATTAAGTTACTTTCGTTTATTAAGTATTAAATTACATCACTTAGGGTCTTCCATAGTTTGCATTTACTTGCACAGTCAGCTTAATGGATATTTCAGAGCGTTCATAATTTAAAAAAAAAAAAATTAGAACTTTACTGATATTTTTACTTCTGTTTATAAAATGAACTCCTTAGTATTACACAACAAAATCCCAAATTACCTCATATGGGGTATAGATCTATTTTAACCAACGAAAACTCCGTCAGTCTTATTCCACCCCGGTGTATATACTGAGTTCGTGTTCGGGATTGAATAAAAAGGTTTTCGTCGGTTGAAATAGATCTATCCCCCATATGAGGTAATTTGGGATTTTGCTGTGTAGTACTATTTATTGGCTCTGTTATAATAAATACATTGATCTCTTTTTGTGGATCAGTTTTAATAATTTTATATTACAAAGATCCCCTTGGATTATATACCAACGGATTTATTACCTTTACTATATATATATATATATATATGGAAATTTTATGACAAAGTGGCAAAGTTTACTTGTGACGTGTTTCGCCCTTCAAGACTTCATCGGACTAAATTTGTTATGTTGGTAGTACTACATATGGGCTCGAACGAAAGATGCTGGGAATTTTAGATTTTTTTTTCTTTTAAAATTTTTGTTTCTTATATCTAGCCGAATTTATTTAGAGTCTTTTTGTTCTTCCTTCTATCACTTTTGTTAGTAGGTATCTCACATTGTGATTCCTGCCAGAAATGGTGACATTCTATGAGCCTGGGCGCAAATTTACTGTAGTCGACTTTGCGATCAATGCACGCACTTAGTTATATGTCATGCGTGATACACAGTTAGGCGATCATGTATCTTTCGATACATGACTGAGGAGGCAGATTTTTTTCGGCAGTAGGTTGCCATTTCTTTCTGCGGTAGACCGGTTGCCATCCAAAGCTATAGAACCCGATCTGTCCTGCTATTTATCCTTAGCTGGTCGGAGGGAGAAGAAGAGGATTCATGCCTTTCCCAAGGGTATTATCGACTGGAAATCGAACTCGGCTCTCTGAATTTTCAAACAGAGTCGCTATCCGTTACTCCGCCGTGTCTCCTTTTCTTAATTTACTTTCCGTTAAAACTTGTATCATACCAATAACGAGACATCTAAGCTCAGGGAGGACTGTTTTCATGCCTTTTTCTAAGGATACAACTGTCTCAGCTTGAACTAAGATGACCGAAATTGATGATATAAAAATAACTAAGACCAGCACCCCCCAGTTCTTATCTGCTTTTTTCCCCTTCCATATCTAAATCTTTTGTTCATGACTCTCCCTGCTTGGTGGGCGTTGTTAGCCAAAAGACCAAGAAAGAAGGAACAAGCATAATTATAATAATCACTCAGTTATGTGCCATGCGTAATACACGCTTAGGCGATCATATATCTTTCGATACATGACTGACGAGGCAGATTTTTTCCCACAGTAGGTTGCCAATTCTTTCTGCAGTAGACCAATTGCCATCCAATGATATAGAACACGGTCTGTCTTGCTATGTACGTGTAGCTGGCGGAGAAGAAGAGGATTCATACCTTTCCAAAGATTATTAACACCTAAGTGAATGAGAGCTCATTTGGTTAAAATATTATTTTGTGTTCACTCGCTCCCTTAGTTAGCACGGCCGTTACGTCCTGCCGATACCTCATACATAATGAATTACTCCGTTTTGAATACGGGGAAAGAGAGGAAAGGACACTGCTTGGTTTCAGTGAGAAAAGGAAAGAAAGAACGGAAGATAGAAGTGGAGAGTGAGAGAATCAGGATTAAGCTGATGAAAACAGATACTACACTTTGATCTTAGTCAAAAGACCGAGAAAGAAGGAACAAGCATAATTATAACAATCACTCAGTTCTGTGCCATGTGTGATCATCTATCTTTGGATATATGACTGACGAGGCAGATTTTTTTTCCCGCAGTAGGTTGTCATTTCTTTCTGTGGTCGACCAGTTTCCATTCAAGGTTATAGAACCCGGTCTGTCCTGCTATTTATCCATAGCTGGGCGTGGTGGGGGATAAGAAGATGATTCGTACATTTCCCAAGATTATTAGCACGTAAGTCAACGTAGTAGATTCGACTGGAACTCGGGTCTCCGATTTTTCAATCCAAGCCGCTATCCTTTACTTCACCGTGCCCCCTCCATGCACTAGATATTCAAAAAACTTCTAAAAAATTATAAAATCACCAGCACCTCTCGCTCGTGCCCATATATAGTCGTATTAATATAACAAAGTTATAGATGCCTGTGCGTAAAACCAACTTATATATGAAGGTGTGGACTCTTCTAGCTAGTTAGCCCCTGCTAGGAAATGCACTATTCCTGTTATAATTTTCACCATCACAATCTTACAAATATATAACAAGTATTCATTGGTCAATCACCTTCAGTCTAGCTTACTGATTGGTCAGTTCCGACCAATCAAACCGCCTGCACGCGACCAATCTGTTTTCCCGCTCAATATGCTGGGAGCTCCCCACGTGGTACACGATAATTATATAAACAGAACACGTGTAAGCTCCCTGAGTAGTTTCTTTTCATTCATCTCTCTCTCTCTCGTGCGTCTCATTCTTCAAGAACTCCCGTCTTAACCTTTGCGGTCAGACGTTAAAAACCATTACCAACATTCACGCAAGTACGAACTCTGAAATCTCTTCTGAACTTTTACAAACTTGTACAATACACAAATCCAAACATGCTAAAGAAACTTTATTCTTCTAAATTACAGTTTAATATTACTTCCTTTTGATATGAACTCAGGTACAACTATTACCTAATCAAAGGGACACGACTCTGTCCTACCTTTTTAGTTCGCATGCATGTATATTAAATATTAATAAATTCAATTGTTATGTTTTGAAATCATTCCGTTCAGTTTTGTATTTTATACTATATGCTATTTACGTCAAATATAAATTGCATTGCGTCCACGCATTGTCCTTAATCCCACCTTTCCTAGCCAAAGTTAAATATTGGTAACACCGTCGCTACAAAGGTATATATCACAAGGGTATATATAATCTTTCCTGGCAGATCTTCTATGATCAGTGTGGAATATCTACAAACAAATGAGATGAAAAGAAAAAGAAAAACAATCAAAATGAAATCGGCGTGACAAAAAAAAAAAAAAAAAATTAGAATTCCCAGCATCCCTCATTCTTGCGCATGTGTAGTCGCACCAACTTAACAAATTTAGACCGATGATGCCCTAAAGGACAAAACGCGTCACAAGAAACCCTTTTTTCGCTTTGTCATACATTTTACTCCAATACTAGGGTAAGTAAATGAAAAAAAAAATTATCCGCTCTTTCGTCATAACATTAGGTTTGTCACAATGCCTTTTGCCTATATGTGTTTGGAAAGTTAATGTGCACTTTTCTAATGATATGTTTTTTTTATATTTCAGATTTCACCGCAATATGGTTTTAACAACTAATTAACGTGTATTTCTTGTTGAACACGTATTTCGAGAAGGTCATACATACACATTTTTGGTGTGACATCGTTTTGCTGATGAAATTTTCAGATACACCTGTTAATTTCGGGAAACAGGACCAGTGAACAATGTCAGGCGTTGTGAAAGGCCGACCCGAAAAGCTATCGGAGGAGAAACTGTTGTATATCCCCGACAGTGTGCAGCAGAGCCCAAGAAAATCATTACGAAAATTAGCGCAGCAGCAAGTTACAAGTATTTGAACTTCCCATAAAGCCGTCAGTCAAAAATCAAGCGAACAACTAATAGCGATCTTCAGAAACAATATAAGAAGGATTCAACCTGTCTTGATGCTAACTTTCGACATTGTTCACTGTTTTCATTCATATTCTTCTCCCGTATTCTATATTTAAATGTCTATGTCAAGAAAAAATGTATGTGCTGAGTGACTTCCCGAACAACTTGTAGTTGCTACTATTGTGGTCTGATGATTGAAGTTTGGCCACGCCAGTTTTCTTGCTGTTTTTACAGTGTAAACATGGCCGCTCCGCTAGCAGTATTCATCAAAGATGAACAAAGAGCAGATATCTAATTTCTCTGGTTGGAATGTTTGCTGAAATACATTGGAGGCTCTTAGCACAGGACGTCGACACTGTACCAAGGCGTAGAAGTGTGTGGGGGTGGATCGAGAAGTTTAAAAGAAAGATCAAACGCCCGTCAACCTCTATCAGTGACGACAAGATTCAGCAAGTTCGAGAGAAGTTAATGGCGAACCGGCGAGTTGCATGTCCTCTGAAGATTCGGATCACTACTCTTTATTCCCTCTTGGTGAACACTGCTCGCAGTGCGGCCATGTTTGCACTGTAAAAGCAGTAAGAAAATTAGCACGATCGAGCTCAAACTTCGATAACAGGACCACAATAGTACTAACTATAAGCGCAAATAAACAGAAGAGAGTGTGAACGAACCTAGAGCTATGTTATGACGAAAGTGTGGATAATTTTGACTTAACCTCCTAATATACCAGGGGTGGGCAAACACTTTTCCTAGAGAGCCGTATCATTGCCGGTCCTGTGTAAAGTGAGTCGCATCATAATATAAGCAAGCGTTTTACAACAATATAAATTTTTAAAAAAATCCTCCACGAGAATGATTATTTGTATATCTATTTAGTAAACAAATTACGTGAACTGGCTGGAGAAAATTATGAGCGATTTGTTTGATATTTAATACATTTAGTACTATTAATGAAATTTTTAGAACCGATAAAATATTTTTATAATGAGGATTCATTTGACTCGCTGATATACACAAGGCAGGTGGATATATTCAAATCTGTTAGCTGAGACTTTTTGGTTAGGGTAATGAAAATATTAAATATTTTTCTAATTGAAAGAGACTATTTTGAGCAACAGATAACCAAAAAATTTTCTTCTTCTTCTTCTTCTACTTCTTCTTGTTGTTCTTCTTCTTATTATTATTATTATTATTATCCTCCCGTTTCTCCACTCATCTTCTTCTTCATCATTATCTCCTCCTCCTCCTTTCCTCTTCTTTCTTCCTGTCAGTGTCATCTTTCTTTCTTTCTTTCTTTCTTTCTTTCTTTCTTTCTTTCTTTCTGTAGTTGCAATTTCTTTCTTTCTTTCTTTCTTCTTTCTTTCTTTCTTTCTTTCTTTCTTTCTTTCTTTCTTTCTTTCTTTCTGTAGTTATCATTCCTTTTATTTATTTTCTCTACTTTTTCATCTTCCTTGTAACGTTCATGCTTCTCATCAACTTCCTCTCCTTTTTACCACTTAGCACTTTTTTACCTTTTTCCTATCTCTCCTAACCCGCCTTTTGCCAACCATTTACGCAAGCCTGTTAGGTAATTTGCTATTTTCCTCATTTGCTTTAGAAATTCCCATTTGTCTCTTCCCGATGTTAACCATTATTATCCCCTTTTGCCAAATTTCCATAAAACTTTGTCGCTGTTGACATATTCAGTCCATGATATTCTCAGCATCCTTCTGTAGAACCACATTTCAGTTGCCTCTAGTCTTTTCATCATCTGTGAGGAGTTTGTCCAGTATTCACGGCCATATAGAAAGATCGATATTACATTTCAGTTCAGTATTATTTTTCTTTATTTCTAACTAAATTTTCATGTTTTTTTTAATACTTTGCTTAGCGTTTAGAAGACATCTTTCGTTAACCCTTTCGGATTTCGGTGTCGCATTTTCCGTCCGCTGCTAGAACACTTTTTACATATTTAAATTTTGGTACTTTCTTGGTTTTGGTATCACCAGTTTGCAATTCACTTACTGGGCTATTCTTTTTATTGACAATCATATATTCTATTTTTTTTTTACTATTGAGGATTAGTCTTTTCTTCTCGCTTTCCTTTGCTTCTGTAGATGCGCCTGTAGTTTGCTTTCCGTCTCTACCATCAACACTGTGTCATCTGCATATCTGCCTACAGTTAATGGTAAAATAAAAAGAGACTTCTTTGAGCAGCAGCTAACCAAAAATCTCCTCCTCCTGTTTTACGCCGTTTCTTTTTCATCATCTCCTCACCCTTCTTCTTCATTCTTCCTATTATTATTATTATTATTATTATTATTATTATTATTATTATTATTATCCTCCTTTTTCTTCCCTCTTCTTCTTCATCATCATCTCCTCTACCTCCTGTCCACTTCTTTTTTTCTGTAGTTGTCATTTTTTCTTTTCTTTCTTTCTTTCTTTCTTTCTTTCTTTCTTTCTTTCTTTCTGTAGTTGCAATTTCTTTCTTTCTTCTTCTTTCTTTCTGTAGTTGTCATTTTTTCTTTTCTTTCTTTCTTTTTTCTTTCTTTCTTTCTTCTTTCTTTCTGTAGTTGCAATTTCTTTCTTTCTTTCTTTCTTCTTCTTCTTCTTCTTCACCTCCGTCTTCTCCTCTTCTTTCTTTCTGCTGTTGTCATTTCTTTTTCTCTCTTCTTTTTCATCTTCTCCTCCTCCCCTTCTTCTTTCTTTCTATAATTGTCTTTTCTTTCTTCTTCTTCTTCATCTCCATTTCCCCTTCTTTCTTTCTTTCTTTTTTTTTCTTTCTTATATATTCATGAAATATAATGATAGATACTGACTTACTATCACTCAAACACCTGTGACAATTTGTTGTGAACATGCAAACGTATGAACTAAGTGTAATAAATGATACCGAGGAAGGTGCTGGAAAAGAGTGATTTCATTAACAATAACAACAAAAAGAGAACGGAAAAAAAATGAGAATTTAAATATTGGAATTAAATGGAATGGCGTTGACATTGCCGAAAACAAACCGGGAGGGGGGTGCTGGCATATAAATCGATATGGACATGAAACATAAACATCAAAATGGAGTCACTATTATTAATCTTTCATTCAGCACATTTTGCACCGCCGGTGTAGTCACCACTCCCCGCTACCATACAATTGCGGTTCATGGTAGCATTCAAAACAAAATAGTGCAATGGCTTGCCGGATGTTGTACCAGGGTTATTGTATTTACCCTCGTCCCTCCTCTCAGAGTTGAATTTCTTTTTAAGGTTACCTAAAGTTAAGTGGTTGTAATTCAGAGTTTCCTTCTACACGGGTTGCTACATAAGGCTAAAGGACAAAGAAGAAGAAGAAGAAGAAGAAGAAGAAGAAGAAGAAGAAGAAGGTCTCCTCTTCCCCTGTATCTATTATTATTAAATGTTATGCACTTTTTTGTACACACCTGATGTCTCGTGGTTATCGTTGGGGATTGACTGACTGACAGCAAATCTCCTCAAATCTCCAGCATCTTCTTCAGTATATTTTATTATATTTCATTATATTGCATGTTCAGATCAGATGCCTTGTGGTTATCGACAGAGATTGAGTGACAGCAAGTTTCCTCAAATGTCCAGCACCTTCCTCACTATAATTTATTGTATTTCATGTATTTGAAAAATTCACACCAGTTGTTTCAGGGTTATTGTTAGAGATTGAGTGAGAGCTAGATTCCTAACATCTCCAGCACCTTACTCAATTTCATTTCAGATTCCACCACCAGCAGCAAATCCTTGGTTAGGACAGTTTCATAAGCTTCTTGGAATTTGAATTTGTCTATCGTAGTTTTTACAGTGCTCTAGTCAAATGTTACAGGCTTAACTCTAAACTTTATTCACTGGAGATTATTTTGGATTACAGTTGAAGTCCTGCTATTTAAAATTTGCCTTCAAGTTTCGCTTGTACATCTACTTTTAAGATTTGACACAACATTTTTCTCTTGGCGCTTATCAAACCAGGGCTTCTCATTTTCAATGATCAGTTTAGATTTCACAATCCCAGAACATCTTATTGCTTTTATTTTTTTTTTCTACGGCAGAGTCTGGTTTGTGCAGATACCATTTGCCAACATGGTCGAATCCACGTTGATGGCACATTTCCCAGTCAATAGATTTTCCTGCCCTACCGTATCTGCATTCTTGTATTAAGGTTTTACAAACTTGCATGTCTCCAAGCTTAGCTTACCAACTATTTTAATCCACAAAGGTGGAATTTTTCTGTCGTTTCTTTTCTGTTTTCCTTATTTTATCATAATCATCATCATCATCATCATCATCATTATTATTATTATTATTATTATTATTATTATTATTATCATTATTATTATTATTATTATTATTATTATTCGCATTCTTCTTATTCTCCTTCTTCTTCTTCTTTTTCTTCTTCTTCGCTTAAAGTCTCTTGCCAATACATCATGAACAATGGGTTATTCGGTTTTGATCGCGTAGAAAGAGGTCAAAGACGCTACTTGGTTTCAGTGAGAAACTAAAAGAAAGAAAGAAGGGAAGATAGAAGTGTTTAATAGCCTTTTCAGTGAAACGGAAAAAAAATGCAATATTAAATCTTTCCGTTTGTACCCACTCTTTGGTACAATGAGGTATGTACTGCTACAGCTGTTTCCCGAGACCGGACACCTTTCAATAATATTTTCCGTTGCGCTGTCCGAAGACAGAGACATAACTGTTCGATGAAATGTAGTCTATCCACCCGTGAGAAGATACTACACTTTGATCCCAGCCAAAGGGCCAAGAAGACGCGCAGTATCGAACTGCGGAAACTGAGTAAGATAAACAGCAAAAGTCATGAATGAAACATCATCGTCTGCTGGAATATATTAAAATTATTATTAAGAGGAATCTTCTTAAGACAAGTATTTAGCTAGAAAGAAAGAAAGAAAAAAAAGGAAGATAAAATCGTTTAAAGTCTCTTGCCAATACATCAGGAACAATGGTCTATTCGGTTTTGATCGCGTAGAAAGAGGTCAAAGACGCTACTTGGTTTCAGTGAGAAACTAAAAGAAAGAAAGAAGGGAAGATAAAAGTGTTTAATAGGCTTTTCAGTGAAACGGAAAAAAATGCAATTTTAAATCTTTTCATTTGTACCCCCTTACTACTTAAGATAACGACCAGCATTCATATTTATGATTGTTATTCACATTATCTACGTTGTTTGGACTGTTGTCTTCATATTTCTTGCCATATTCACGACGTTTCGACCGTTGTACGCCTCGGAATTCTTTAGGTGATTGAAATTTCGTACTGAACCCTTTACTTCGTCCACCGGTATGAGTGTTCTAGTTCCACATGCCATGCCTTTTTCAAGTGTCTTTGTATCAGTTATTTCCCTTTTAACTCAACTCTCCAAGTTTTTTTTTATCCTCTCTGCTGTATCCAGGTATTGGAATCACAACTCTTTGGGTCAAGTCACTGGATTCAACCAACGCTGGGCTATGTGCCCTAGAGGACACCTGATGAAGGCCAGTGCGTACAACAGTCGATACGTCCTGAATATGGCAACACAGATGAAGACAACAGTCTGGACAATGTAAATAGAGTAAATAATTACAATACGTAATCCAAGAAATCTCGATAGGTGTTTATGATTATTATTGCAATATTTTGTTAAAATTGTTAAGATACATTGCGGGGGGGTATTTCTACAGATATTTTATTGTCATCTTGAGCTTATCCAATCATTAACCTAAGTAAGAGTTAAGAATTAAGATTCATCAGAAAAATAAAATTAAAAAAAATTAAAAAAATGGAGAGAGATAGAGACTCAGGTTATGCATTTGTACCCTCTTACTTCTTTAAGTAATGACCTGCATTCATACTTACGATTGTTTGTTCAATATTTTGTTAAAGATCTTAAGATCAAATATGAACGAGGCAACATGAGAATGTCTATTTTTATAGTCGCAACAAATTACGTAGCTCCTACTTCGCTACTTAGAACGATTACTTCGCTACTTAGAACGATTACTTCGTTAGTGATGTGACTATAAACCTAGTCTTAGTTGGCAATAATATAAGTGACGGATGGCTATAAAAAAAAAAAACAGTGTTGATGATTTACGGCTAATTTGTTTAAATAATGAACTGGCTATTGTTTGCGCCACGTGGCAATAATTATAAGTAAAATTATGTACTAATAGAAGTGACTAATCGTTTTAAGTCCGCTGAATATCGGTGGCTTTTATAGGCGTAGAGCTTATTCAATCTTTTACTTAAAGTCAAATAGCAAAGCCGTGAAATTTGCACGGTTACTGGTGGTATTGGTGGTAGAGGTTCTTCTTCTTCTTCTTCTTCTTCTTCTTCTTCTTCTTCTTCTTCTTCTATTATCATTATTTCTTATGCTTCTTATTCTTTTTCTTCTTCGTCGACGTCGTCTTCTTATTATTCTTATTATCATTATTTCTTATTCATCTTTTTCTTTTTTCATCGTCGTCGTCTTATTTTTCTTCTTCTTCTTCTTCTTCTTCATCGTCTTTTTATTGTCTTTCTTATTAAAATTCTTCTTCTTCTTATTATTATTATTATTGTTTCTCATTCTTCTTATTCATTTTCTTCGTCGTCGTCTTATTATTATTATTATTTGTATTTTTCTTATTTTCCTTCTTCTTCTTCTTTTTCTTCTTCTTTTTCTTCTTGTTATTTCATTTTACGCCATTTTTATGATATACCTTGAACTCTTAAATGTTAGACTCGTAAGTTTTCTCATAAATTTATTTATGTTACATCCGAATACATATCATTTTTCCTAAAAAAATTGTTCGTTCTTCCTTTATTCTTATTCCAGAGATTTTCCGTTTTCTTTCTTTCTTTCTTTCTTTCTTTCTTTATTTCTTTATTTCTTTCTTTCTTTCTTTCTTTATTTCTTTCTTTATTTATTTATTTTATTTTATTTTGCTTCCATTTTTTTTTCCAGGGCATCGAAGTTAACGTCATGAAGGAACGTCCCAGGAGATCGATATTAATACACACGGGATTCGATACTGGCCTGCAAAAGAGCGAACGGTCATGCAGTCAGATTGTTGACGTGTTTTGGGAGATTGGGCGCATATCATTGATTGGTCGACGCATGTCACGTGTATTAGAGTTTCTCACAGATTCCTTTAAACTGTGTTTTCTTTATTTTCTTTCCTATATCTTTGCCTCTTGTTTTCTCAGTTTTACATTCCTATTTCCTGAAAATTGTAGTGTTATTAAATTCAACATATTTATTCACCATGTTTCTGATTCGTGTACTTGTCGCAGTTTCTTTTGACTGCTCTCGCTTCGTCTGAGGCTCTGAGAAGAACTTTTTTTTTTAAATTTTTCTATTCATATTGGATGAGTATCTTTATTTTTATTATTTTTTATTTTTTTTTTTACAGCAACCGAAGTTGACTGAGATTATTTTCCGTACATCCAAGATAAATATTTTCATTTTTTAAAAAACAATTTTTTAGATGGTCCTAAACTAGTGTTTTTTTTTTTCTGCTATCTGCCATTTACCTTCAGAACGTCTACGATCAAGGCTCTTCACAATTTCCCGTCCTTTGTCGATCTGAGTAAGGCTTGTCTTTTTCGATATCCCGTAATGCTTTTCATGCAAACCGTTTGCATAATCTCGTTGGGTAGAATATTCGCTGCCTACCTCTGTCCTTCTTCCATTCAATATGTCCTCTGAGTATCAAATGCGCCAAGCCCACTTTTCTCATGTGCTCTCGGAATTTCAATTTTTTTTTTCTAATTCTAAGTATATGTGTCATTTTTTATTCCAATTTCCCTAAAACTTCGCCGTTGTTTACAGTATTTATGGCATCTTCAGCATCCTTCTGTAGAACCACATTTCTGTTGCTACAAGTCTCCTCTTTAACCGTAAAGAGATTGTCCAGCATTCAGTGCCGTAAATGAGAACTGATATTACGTCACATTTCATTACTTTGTTTTCTTTGTTTCTGATCCTACAAGTTTCTTTTTCCATCTGTGAAGAGATTGTCCATCGTTCTTTGCCATATAGGAGGACTGATATTACATCACAGTTCAGTACTCTTTTCTTTGTTTCTGTTGCTTCAAGTCACTTTTTTATCTGTGAGGACATTGTCCAGCATTCACTTCCATATAGGAGGACTGATATTATATAAAAGTTTAGTACTGTTTGTTTCTTTTACTTCAAATCTCTTCTTCATCTCCGTGATGATTGTCCAGCATTCATTGCCATACAGAAGGACTGATATTACATCACAGTTCAGTATCCGTTTCTTTGTTACTGTAACTTCAAGTCTCTTCTTCATATGTGAAGAGATTGTCCAGCATTCACTGCCATATAGGATCTATCGGTTTTAACTCGCTGTAATTTATTTATTTCTTATACATACATTATTATTCGTAAAGTTTTAAAACGGTTTTATTTATAAGCACTCTCGGCTTGATTCGCTGTATTCTATTTATTAATTTCAATGGCTGTATTTCTTATCTCTGTATATAGTAATTATTGCTGGTGAAATGAACCGTGAGGGGAAGTGGGTAAAAACGGAAAACATAATTACCTTCTAAGTATCCGATGAGGGGTGTCCACCAAAAAAAAGAAAAAGTAAAAAATTACCCGTAAACGGCTTAAATAGATCTCGCACCGTTGTGATTGGCTGTTGGTCAATCTCCAATCAAATGTGAGATTACGGGGTATTCTTATAAAAGTCAGCACAAACAAGCATTTTTTTTAGAGGGCGTTTCAGAGTCTGATCAGCTCTGAAAGGGTCGATTTGGTGAGGTCAGTATGATGTTTGAAAAGACCTGAAACTGTCCAATGATCCTTTTAGAACATCACTGACGACGCCCTCTAGCGCTAAAGGAGCGTATATTCAAAGCAGAGGATTGATATTACGTAACAGTTCAGTACTCTTTTCTCTGTTTCTGTTGCTTCAAGTTTTTACTGATATCACTCTCTCTCAGTCGCTAAATATCTTCCACACTTATAACAATCTCTCTGTCTCTCTCTCATTTACTAAATGTCTTCTACATTCATATCACTCTCTTTCTGGAAATGTCTTCCACATTCATATTACACTCTCTCTCTCTCTCACTCACTCACTCACTCACTCACTCACTCGCTAAATGTCTTTCACGCTCATATCACCTTCTTTCTCACTCAGTAAATGTCTTCCACACTCATATAACTCCCACTCACTTTCTCTGTCTCACTCACGAAATGTCTTCCACTCTCATGTCACTCAGTGTGTGTGTGTGTGTGTGTGTGTTCTTTCGTCTGTCTCAAATTAGTTTATTTTAGATTCGTTTTTCCACTCATTTCTTTTTCTGCTCTCGTCTCTCTCTCCCTCTCTCATTATATGTCTTTTCCTCTCGCTCTCTTTACTCTCGTCTCTCTCCCTCTCTCATTATATGTCTTTCCCTCTCGCTCTCTTTACTTTCGTGTCTCTCTCTTTCATTATATGTCTTTCCCTCTCGCTCTCTTTACTCTCGTCTCTCTCTTTTTCTCTCATTATATGTCTTTCCCTCTCGCCCTCTTTACTCTGGTCTCGCTCTCTCATTATATGTATTTCCCTCTCGCTCTATTTACTCTCATCTCTCTCTCTCTCTCTCTCTCTCTCTCTCATTATATGTCTTTCCCTCTGGCCCTCTTTACTCTTGTGTCTCTCTCTCTCATTATATGTCTTTCCCTCTCGCTCTCTTTACTCTTGTGTCTCTCTCTCTCATTATATGTCGTTTCTTCTCGCTCTCTTTACTCTCGTCTCTCTCCCTCTCTCATTATATGTCTTTCCCTCTCGCTCTCTTTACTTTCGTGTCTCTCTCTTTCATTATATGTCTTTCCCTCTGGCTCTCTTTACTCTCGTCTCTCTCTCTCTCTCTCATTATACGTCTTTCCCTCTCGCTCTCTTTACTCTCGTCTCTCTCTCTCATTATACGTCTTTCCCTCTCGCTCTCTTTACTCTCGTGTCTCTCCCTCTCTCATTATATGTCTTTCCCTCTCGTTCTCTTTACTCTCGTCTCTCTCTCTCATTATATGTTTTTCCCTCTCGCTCTCGTTACTCTCGTCTCTCTCCCTCTCTCATTATATGTCTTTCCCTCTCGCTCTCTTTACTTTCGTGTCTCTCTCTTTCATTATACGTCTTTCCCTCTCGCTCTCGTTACTCTCGTCTCTCTCCCTCTCTCATTATATGTCTTTCCCTCTCGCTCTCTTTACTCTCGTCTCTCTCTCTCTCATTATATGTCTTTCCCTCTGGCTCTCTTTACTCTCGTCTCTCTCTCTCTCATTATATGTCTTTCCCTCTCGCTCTCTTTACTCTCGTCTCTCTCATTATATGTCTTTCCCTCTTGCTCTCTTTACTCTCGTGTCTCCCCCCTTTCATTATATGTCTTTCCCTCTCGCTCTCTTTACTCTCGTCTCTCTCTCTCTCATTATATGTCTTTCCCTCTCGCTCTCTTTCTCGTGTCCCTCTCTCTCTTCTTTCCTCTCCGTCTCTCATTATATGTCTTTCCCTCTTGCTCTCTTTACTCTCGTGTCTCCCCCCCTTTCATTATATGTCTTTCCCCCTCTCTCTCCCTCTTTACTCTCTTCTGTCTCTTAATAATCTTTCTTGTACATTTGTTTTTGTTTCCTCTGATTTCTCTTAATACTCTCACCTTCTTATTTTCTCAATGTCTTTCCATATTCATCTCTCTTCCTCCTTCTCTCTCACTCCCTCTTTTTTATCATGTCTTTTACCGGCTTTCATATATGTGCGTTTCTTTCATCATATTTCTCTCACTCTTACTATATGACTTTAGAGACTTTAGAGAGAGAGAGGAGAGAGAGAGAGAGAGAGAGAGAGAGAGAGAGAGAGAGAGAAAGAGAGAGAGAGAGAATGAGAGAGGAGAGAGAGAGAGAGAGAGAGAGAGAGAGAGAGAGAGAGAGAGAGAGAGAGAGAGAGAGAGAGAGAGAGAGAGAGAGAGAGAGAGAGAGAGAGAGAGAGAGAGAGAGAGAGAGAGAGAGAGAGAGAGAGAGAGAGAGAGAGAGAGAGAGAGAGAGAGAGAGAGAGAGAGAGAGAGAGAGAGAGAGAGAGAGAGAGAGAGGAACAAAGGGTCAACGGTACAAGATTACAAAAAGAACAATAGTGGTGTAATGGTTAGCAAGCTTGTCACGCTAGCACAATTACGACTGGGTAGTGAGTTCGATCCTCACCGGGTGCCCCATACTTTCGGCCCTGTGCCACATCTAAGCTACGCTTGAGAATAACTACCAAAAGAACAATAAGAGCCACTTAACTTGAGAAGACAATATTTCTGAAAAATTGCTTGAAGAGAACGATTTTATAAATTTCAACTGAAAGCAGTACCGGCTGCTTGATCAATGAATGCTTAATGTTTCCTTATAAGGAAATGGCTAATACTATTCTCATTCTTTTTATTTTTACGGTAATAGTGATAGACGAGAGTGAAGAGAAAAAAAAAAGAAAACATTGAGACGCGCGTACAGAGAGAAAAATAATGAGAAACCGACCAGAGTAAAGAGAGACTTGTATAGAGAGACAAACACTAAAATTCAGAGAGACGAGTGGAGACAAACTACCATTGTCAGAGTGACTTGCATAAAAAGATACCTCACGTAAGAGTGAGTGAAAAAGAGTGTGGAAAACCTTCAATGCTGTGTGCTAAAGAGACGATCGGAGAAAGAGAAATATTGATAGTGGCAAAGACTTGCATAGAAACACAAGTAATGAATCTAAGAGAAAAGTCTACAGAAAGACAATGAAAGCGCTATAGTGTGCCGCGTTTGAATGTTAATTGTGGGCTTGATTAAGACGAAGGTAGAAAAAAAGAAGACCTCAAACTGAGAATAAAACTTATAGAAATAATAAATTGTTAAGATTTAGAAAGTTAATCGGATAGCAGACGGGCTTGCCATCGTCCGGTTCATACACCACCCCGGTTTTTAGAGCAGAAGTAGAGGCTTAACCCTTGTTTCCTGTTTAGGATTGGATTTCCGGTTCCTTCTAAAGTCTACTTCAACTCTATATTTCTAGCATCTCTGCCTAAAATCTGAATTTTTATTTACTATTTATTTAATTATTTTATTGTTCCTCAAGAGGAGTAGATAGGTTTGCCTATCGTCTGGTTCAAAAACCTCCCATATCTTTAGAGCAGAAATAGAGGTTTATCCTTTGTTTCCTGTTTAGGATTGGGTTTCCAGTGATATGAATAATCAAGAGTGGTCTCCCCTTGTTTTGTTACTCTCCTCTTTGTGAGAGCTATTTCTGTTAACTGGGATTATAAAAGCACACTAAACGCGACGCTTGTAGCATTCTCAGTTGAATAAATCTTTCTTAAACCCTACACCTGTGTACTTTCGCCATTACATCCAGTTCCTTCTAAAGTCTACTTCAACTCTATATTTCTAATGTTTCTGTTTTTATATTATTTTACTATTTGCTTTATTCTTTCCCTCAACAGGAGTAGATAGGTACACCTTCCACCCGCTTCACACTCCTTTCAGGTTTTTTGAAAAGGCTAGAAATTTAGTTGGTAGGATAATATATTTTTTTATTCATTCGGTTTGTGCTACCAACTCTGTTACATCGATATTCTGGCTGGCATTCTCCAAGGTGACACACTTTTACCTTTCCTTTTCATCATTGTAATAGACTACATCATGCGTATATCAGTGGATACAATCAAAGAAAATGGACTGATGTATCAGCCTAGAAGAAGCTCATGTCATCCTGCACTCTACATCATCGATGCTGATTTTGCCGATTACATTGCACTGTTGTCTGACAACCTCATTAGTGCCCAAGCACTCCTTTCTTCTCTTGAATCAGCAGCTAACTGTGCAGGTCTTCACCTAAATGAAACTAAAACTGAGTGTATGCCAATTAACATTCGCAACAATCATGAGATCAAAACACTCTCAGATAACATCCTAAAATGTGTCGAAGACTACAAGTATCTAGGATCACACATCAAGAACTCTGAGAATGATTTCAACATTAGAAAAGGCATAGCATGGATTGCCTGTAACAAAATGGATAAAATCTGGAAATCCAATCTTGCTCGTCAATTCAAAATCCAACTTTTCCCTCGTACTTATTGAGCCAATCTTACTCTATGGCTCTGAAACTTGGACTCTCTCATCAAAACAACAGCGCCGTTTAGATGGATGTTATACACGTCTTTTAAGAAGAGTGCTTAATCTCTCATGGCGAAACCAGCCAATCCTAGAAATGATATATGGAGAGTATCAACCTTAGTTTGCAAGAGACGTGTCCAGTTCGCCGGGCATTGTGCACGTGCCACAGATGAACTTGTGTCATCATTTGTACTCTGGAGGCATCCATCATCTGACAATCGATCACGCAAGTTAACCTTTCCAGATAGGATAAAACGAGACACATTGATCCCTAAGGAAGATCTTTTCGGTCCTATGATAGATAGGGAATACTGGAGAGATGTAGTGAGTTCAATCTCGGCTGAGGCCGCAAGATGATGATGATGATTACATCTACAATTGAAAAGAATCTTTCTCAATTCAACATAAAATTTATTACTACAACATGCAAAACAACAGCTGCTCAAATTAAAAAAAATATTTTAAAAAAAAAAGTTCAGGTTGAATATCTTAAAAACATTAATAATAAAAATATAAACTAAGTTACCTCCCTTACATATTCTTAACGGTAATTTCTAAACTGACTTTAACGGAGAGCGTTTCATGCGCATTTACAAAAAAATCCACAACTATCAATTACATTATTTTTTTTTCTTTTAGCAATTCATCCCTGAAGATGATCTTGGATGAGATTGAAAGTACTTGGGAAATAAACAAATAACAAAAACTAAGGCGCATTTCTTGATCAGTTTTGTAACAGCACTGTGAAATTGATCCACGAATTTGAGGGAATTAAAATACATGTCTAGATTATTCAACTAAACATGCTTGAAAGTAAATATGCTGCCTATATATATATATATATATATATATATATATATATATATATATATATATAATATATAAAAGAGAGAGAGAGAGAGAGAGAGAGAGAGAGAGAGTGAGTCATCCACAAACAGACTGTTTCGCTATATCACTGCCAATCAGTGTGGCTAGACGTCCGGTTGTCTCCAGTTAGTATTGAAACTTACCTGAATTGGCGTCAGTCGGAGATTCTACCCTAAGCCGTTGGTGCACGAATGAATGTGAATTTAAACGTATTTATTTTTATTAGATACACAGTGAATAAGAGAACTCGATTCGTTTTGCCGAAGAGTTTTGCATTATTAGTAGTAATAGTCAATGTTTACAAGCTTCCTCTCCCGAGAGCTCAACCGAAATAAATTTTTCAGTAGCATATATATTGTCATCCACAGACAGACTATTTCGCTGCAAGACAGCTCATCAGTGTGCGATATATACATATATATATATATATATATATATATATATATATATATATATATATTAGTGCATGTTTCATTAAATATATTATATAAACAAGTTTTGTCTAGTTTAAACAAATTCTTTTCATATCGTCTGATAAGCTTAATAACATTATCATTGAAAGACGAAAGAAAATCGCCATATTGATACATGTTTTTTTAATCCTGTCTAAGCTTTCGGCTTACATAAGCCATCACCTGAGATGACAAATATATTAAAATAAATTAAACAATACACGGGCATAACAACAATTATTTCTGTTTCTGTTTACATGCAAGATTTCCAAGCAACGACAAACTCTTGCATTTAAGACGCTGGAAGCGAAAATTGCACCGCGGCCCATGACATCACACATGACCACGCGAGAGTGAAAACGAGAAATGTTAAGTAGGGGAAGCCGTTGGTATAAACCAATGGCTTCTGTTATCAATTATAGGCATTTAAGTATATTTGTGGAGATTTCATAGTTTATTTTGTTCAGGTTAGGTTTCAACTGTTTTATGTAAATAGCTTCAAGAATTTTCAGTTTTCATACATACATCATATGCATAATCAATACACCCAATTAAAAAGCAAAAACAAAATCATCCTTGATAATGGCTAAAAGTATAGCTCGGATTTACAGAACATTTGGACACTTGTTCGAACACAAGAAAAATTAAATAAAAAGCTTAATCGTAGTATATATATAATAATCGACTCTCCCGTCGAGATTCGACGTATGAGGGTCAAGCAGATCAGTTTCCAGGAAACCGACAGCCCGACATCGGCACATGAGATTTGATTATAGTGGTGAAGGCTTCGTGCAGGACAATCCACACTTTTTGAAGGGACGAATACAGAGACCTGGTGCACCGAATGCCACAAGGTTCCCAAACGACCCTCCGCAGGTTTTGAATTCAGAGTTGTCCTTTTCCTAGACCAGATGCCATCCAAGGCTATAGAACCCAGTCTGCGCTACTATTTTACCCATAGCTGGAGGGAGAGGAAGAGGATTCATACCTTTCCCAAGGGTATTAGCACGTAAGTGAATACAACGGATTCGAATGGAATTCGAACTCGACTCTGCGATTCCTCAATCCAAGCCGCTATCCATTACTCCTTATATATATATATATATATATATATATATATATATATATATATATATATATATGA